CTTAGGGTCAGGGTTTAGTGGTGGGATGGCAGGGTTAGGGGAATGGTTGGATTCGATGATCTCAAAGGTCTTTTCCAACCAAAGTGATTCTATGATTCTATGATTCTAAATCTATGATCATCTCTGCTTATAAAAAATTACTAAACCCACCATATTATTATTCTCGAATCCTCTTGGTTCCCTATTACTGAAGAGAGACATTCAGCAATTCCCAGATCCTTACGGGGGAGCAGGTGGTCCACATCAGAAGTACTTCACTGGGAACAACCCGAATAAAGCAAAGACTAAGAATGCAAACGTAGAGTATTGGCACCAAAATAAAGCCTGCCTTGGCTTCCTTTTCTTCCTCTCTTCCCTGGCAGTACGGGAACTTCTTTTGAGTATCCATTCTATACAGGCATTAAAGCATCTTCTATATAGTGCTGATTTTTGTCGGAAAAGGAAGCTACTGAAATCCAGGTTAAAAAACCAAGTAAAATATTAAGTGTCAAAATCTGTGTTCACGTTGAGGCTGCGTGGCACATTCCGGACACCCTCGGAGCTCTGGAAGGCATTAATTGAACACAGTACAGCTCAGTTCATCCAGCATCTTACCGGCGTGCCCTCTGAGCATCATCCTGCTCCTTCACACATTTGGATTTCTGCACTAATCTGTGACCTCCTAAGAAGGTGCTACCCGGATTAGTCAAACTCCTTAACAACCACACAGAAACTGTCTTAGTGTGTTTTCAATATAATTCTGTGGCCCCTGCCACTGTTAATTAGAAAGGGATTCTAACTAATTGCAGCGTGCAGAAGGTGCCGTACTGTTCCTTCTCTCTACAGGGGTCTGCCACTCCCTATTTTGAATGTTCATTATCATCTTTTATATCCGCTTGATAAATTTATTAAAAATACCATCTGGTGGGCACCCTGCTCTGTGATGTATTTTCAAGTCTTCTGGTTCTCTTCCTTTTTCCCATTAGATTTTCTGCTTTAATTTAGGTCACTTGTTTACAAAAACACACTGCCAAAACCAACAGCCTTGTTTCTATTTTTGTGTCTTTTTTTTTTTTTTTTGTTTTTTTTTTTTTTTGTTTTTTTTTTTTTTTGTTTTTTTTTTTTTTTGTTTTTTTTTTTTTTTAAATCCATCAACTATCCAGCTTTTACAGTAAACAATGTTGTAAGAGAAAACAGAAGTGGGGATTACAAATATGGAAATTCTTGGTTTCCACTGTTCATACAGCAGTTTTGCTCTGACAAATCTGATTTGCTTTTATGGAACAGAAAAGAGGTGCATTAGCAAAGCATACACATTCTGTAAGCAAATAAAAAGGAGATGGTGATTGAGGTTACAGGACAGGAGCATCAAAACTTTTATTAAATCTTACTTTCTTGTCTCCTGGTCTTATACTGCAGCATGAAGCCATGACCAGCTTGGCAGTACATTTAATTCTAGTAATAGTATTTTTATAAAGGACTG